ACCCCGGGGCACTGCGGGTTCTTCGGCTCCAGGAGCCTGGCATGGAGGAGGATGAGGTGGCACCTGGGAGCTGCTGTTCCTGCTGCACCTCGCCGGTATTGCCGGGTTCCCAGCGGGTTTTCGCGTGATGTGTTCCACCTAACCCCAGAGTACCTCCGCTGCTTTTTCAGGGTGATGGTTTGTGGTAGGTGGGTTTGAGGCTGTCTGCTCATAAGCATCGGAGTTGTGGGCTGAGCTATTTGTTTGAGAGCTTGGGTTGTCAGTGCAGTTGTAACCTGCTGAAAAAGAGACGGCAAGTGGCCAGCTGTTTGTATTCTGGGATTGCACAGTGCAATAGTAGTATGGATTTGAACCTGCTATTCTAGTAGTATCTGATAAATCGTGGTGGCTGGGTGCTCATTCTTAGTAAAATGGGTTAGACTGCCAGCTATTCTATCTATTACCCTTGTAGTCAGCCCTAACATACTGGAGTAATGACAGGCCTATGCTACTGTTTGGGAAAAAGGCGATGCTTAATTCCTGCATCTTTTGGTGGCATCACGGGCAAGTTGCTTAATTTTTCTGTAGCATATAGTGGAGAACAATTGCACCTTTACAGTTATGAAGGTTATCACTAGGATAATGATAATTGTCAGATGAATATACGTAAGGATGTTAGTGACTTAGTCCTAATTATAAATATGTGTTTGGGTTTAATATTGAATTTGTGTTTTTGTCAGGGCTGAACAATACAATAATAAATGATTATTATTAATTACAACAATAAATGAAACACTGTCAGCAGTACTGCTAATCTCTCAGGAACCCAATTCTTGTTTCTGTCCATAAAATTTAATGACTTCTTATTTGGAATGGAACAGAAAGTATGAAGAGAACTTTGTAGTCATTCTAGCATCTGGGTGTGCGTATAAGTAGCAACACAATTTTTTATTTTTTTTTTGCATTTTTTTAAATGAAAGATAAATAATGGCTTTTGGGAAAACAAAAGTAATAGCTTGCATGAAGTTAGATTTCTTTACCAGCTTTCTGTTCCCTCCCTAACATGCTCTTATGTGATATTTTGGTGACTGATAGATAATTAAGACTTTTGCTTCACTTTATTTTGTTTGATTAAATAATAGAATTAATAGATTCTTGATCTTTTGCTTACATAACTAAGCGAATGAATTTTTCTGTTCTTGCTTTGTATATTCTCAGTTTTAAAAAAATGGATTACAGTTACAATGTTTTTGTAAAGTCAGTAGTTCTGCTTATTTAAAATTACCTATCTTATTTAATGTTGGAATCATGGAGAAGGCATTTCTTTGGTCTTACAGATCTTAGGTTTATGTTATGCTTTGGAGCAGTAACATTTTCATTGCATTTCTAAAACAGACTGTTGGATACTTTAAACTTGCTTATCTTGTACTTCTGTTTTTAAAAAAAGTCTTGTGTGGTTTTTTTTTTTTTTATTTTTATTTTTAGGAAGGTGTCACAAGATTTGCCTGGGAAAAAACCCAACAATGTTAGATACAGGTTTTTCGCTTTATATGTTGCCACAGTTCTTTCATCTTGAACTGAGAGAAGCTAGGCAGAGTTTCATGGTACATAGCCCAAAACAGCCACTGTACTATTTAAGCATGCAGTCCAAATGTGCTTTGTTTGCTGTTCCTCTGCTTAGGCAGTGGATGTGCTTATATTAGCAAAGCTTGCTGTGGCATTCCCATTGCTAGCCAACCTAGGGACAGGTCCTGTATCGGGATCAATATGATCAGTTTTCACGCTGATGATTTACAGGGTCAAAAACCAAAGAAACAAACCAAAACGCAAACCCAAGCAGTTGTTACCAGTGTAGGGTGGTTCTAACAACTTTGGCATTTGTGGAACACTACGGTGAAAGGAAACTGCATGTTTCAGTAGATTGACTCACCTAGAGCTGTCGGTAGGCCTCCCAGACTCAGTCAGGTGATTTACTGAATGTGCCATGAAGTCAGTTTTCTCTTTTCTCACAAAACAACTGCTAAAACTCTTAGCGCTCTGCATATTAACTTGACAGGTGACTGCGCATTTATTCATGGAATTTAGGATCTGCAGAGACAATCCAGCAACAAACCAGTTCCATTATTCAGGTCTGCCCCAAAGCTCTATCTGCTTACCCTTCGCTCGCTCCTTCCTTTGCTCACTCCCTCCTCCCCCCCCCCCCCCCCCCCCCCCAATCTGATTAAACTGTAACTTAATTCTGTAATGAACCCATGCTCATCTAGCTGAACCAGGCAATTTGATTTGGTTTACTCCAAACTTTTCTCTTAAATACAAGCAGTTGCTTTATTTTAGTTGGAGTAAAGGTTTCTGAATATTCCTCTGTCTTTGCAAATAGCAAGTAATCTGAGCGTGCAGAATAAGTAACCCCCAAATTTTTTGGTGTTGTAGGAGGCCAGTGACATAGAAAAGAAGCCAATATTACTGGCTTTGAGTTTCATCTATTGCTGCAATATTCGCTACCTGTTTGTATTTGAATTACAGATGGGTTGGTCTGTGGCAAGCTCTCTTTATTATTTTTCTTGCCCACACAGATGCATCTCACTTGTCCTAAAGTTTCTTCTTAGGAGCACAGATGCAGTTGCTCGTGTTGGAGGTCATGGTGTGTTGGACCTAGTAGCTATTTTCCAGATTAGCTGCTCTCCAGACTGTCTGCACTGCACATTCTTTTCACGATCAGTAAAATATCCTCTTGGATTTTGATTTTTAGTATCAGACTTTATTCAAAGACATGCAGTGGCACAAATGATGGCTGGGTTGAGCAGTGTAAGAATTCTTAGCTCAGTCTACAGCAAAAGCAAGCAACAAGACATTTTGGTATTCCTCTTGGTTCCAGCAGGAACTAGATGGCTGCTCGGAATACGTCTAATGTATTTCATCATTTAATAAGGGGTGGAGGGCGAAGCTCCCAGACAGAATGCTTCAGGAGAGTTAGAATTCAAATAATGATATGTCAGCATTCCTAGGGTAGTCTTAGCATGTAATCTAGTATCCTACAAGTTTGTTTAAAGTGCAAAATAGGTTTTGTTGACAACAGTTGTAAATTGACTCTAACAAAATTGCTATGAAGACACTAAAATTGAGCTTTTCTTCATAGAGGTAATCTTAGAGGTGTTAGTTCTAGATGGATGTTTGCTGTCTTGTATGGATACCTTGAGTCATGTTTCTAGGGTCTCTTGCTTTCTGTTATTTCTTTGGGTTTTTTTACTATTTCTCTGGCTCTTAAGCTATATAGCTTCTTAGCAAAAAAGACCAGAAGGAGACTGAGCGCCTATATGGAGCAAAAGGAAATGGAAGCAGAAAGAAAATCAGTCTGTGGGGAAATCTTGATAGGAATTTTTTTTTTTTCCTTAGAGGGGGATAATTGGGATTTTTATCTAAAATATGTCCTTCTAGAAGAAAGGGGAGTTGATTTCTCTGTATAAAATTGCAGTGTACTCTGGTTTTAAATATTCAGTTATGATACCAAAAGTGTTCTTCAAATTCATCATTTAAAATATTTGTATTTCCTTCATTGCATGTAAATGGTGAATAACAGTAAACAATTAGTTTTAGAACAAGGTGTGATAGACTTGGGTTTGTTATGTTTTTATAACTGGATCATAGAATCATAGAATGGTTTGGGTTGGAAGGGACCTCAAAGATCATCTCGTTCCAACCCCCTGGCATGGGCAGGGACACCCTCCCCTAGACCAGGTTGCCCAAAGCCCCATCCAACCTGGCCTTGAACACTTCCAGGGAGGGGGCATTCACAGCTTCTCTGGGCAACCTGTTCCAGTGCCTCACCACTCTGACAGTAAAGAATTTCTTTCTAACATCTAATCTAAATTGACCCTCCTTCAGCTTCAACCCATTACCCCTTGTCCTGTCACTACACTCCCTGATAAACAGTCCGTCTCCAGCTTTCCTGCAGGCCCCTTCAGGTACTGGAAGGCTGCTATAAGGTCTCCCCGGAGCCTTCTCTTCTCCAGGCTGAACAACCCCAACTCTCTCAGCCTGTCTTCATGGGAGGGGAGAGGTGCTCCATCCCTCTGATCATCTTCATGGCCCTCCTCTGAGCTCGCTCCAACAGCTCCATGTCTGTCTTGTACTGGGTCCCCCAGAGCTGGACACAGTACTCCAGGTGGGGTCTCACAAGAGTGGAGTAGAGGTGGAGAATCACCTCCCTCGACCTGCTGGTCATGCTTCTTTTGATGTGGCCCAGGACACGGTTGGCTTTCTGCACTGCAAGCATGCATTGCTGGCTCATGTTGAGCTTTTCATCAATCAATACCCCCAAGTCCTCCTCAGGGTTGCTTTCAATCAATTCCTCACCCAGATCTTTACCTCCATAGGGGTTTAGATCTGCATTTAGAACTGGTGTTCCTCCTCTGTGTTGGTTGCTTAGCTGGAAGCAAGCATTGTCTGCAATATCCCTTTCTTTTGGATTCAAGCAGATCTTTCATATTCAGAAGTTACAGGTTCTTAACTATTTGGAAAAAAATTTATTCTTTAACAAAACATAATTCAGTACTCTGTGGACGATGCTAGTACAATCCCTTATTTCATAATACCGGCTGAATGACACTATATCCAATAGGATCAATGTGTAGGTTTTACGTTCATAGCTTGTAGCATTTCCTGCTTGATTTTTCTCTTTTGATAAAGAATGTTGTATTTACGTGTAAGTTGAAACTGTGCTTTTAACAAATAGAATAAAAATTTCCTTGCTGTAGAAATTACCCATGTGATTGACTTTTCCTTTTCCATTGTTGTATTATGCTCTGGTCCACAGTAGTTATTATGAAGTCTGTTCTAAAGTTCCTGTTGTAAAGCAATATCTGACCTGTTGCAGTTCAGGACTACTAGAGAGCTTGAAGATTTTTGTGGCACTTTCTTGTTGCTTTATATTTTTATTTATTTATATTTTTCATGTTTCAGCTCCGTGAAAAAGTTACCACTGGAGTTACTACTGACAGAAGTACTGTCTTGGCAAATGTAATTGCTGCTTGCAGAAGGCTTTTCTCTCAACCTCCCAAAGGTGATTATAACTAATCAGTGAAGTGAAGCAGACTGCATTCCTTGCTGAGGACTGCACTTGTGTACCATTTAGGTTTATTTTCTGTGGGGAAATAAGTTCTTGTACTAACCAGCCATTAATCTTGAGATGGAACATTGATTTATGGGGGATTTAGGAGCTATTAAAGAACGACTGTGGTTTGCTCGACTTCATGCTATGCAGTGCAATTTTCTGTTGAACTAAGCTTGCCTATCTCTGGTTTAAAGGATAGTTTTACTTTATGTTATTAAATACATTTGGTATTTTCTTGTCAACAATAGTAGATGTATTTGTGGAAACCTGGTAGAGCTCTTCAGCAAAAAGACAAGAATGAAACCATTTTTGCAGTCTGTTTGTTGCTAGCTTCTTTGCTGTTGTATACTTTCAGCTTGTGACTACTGAAGTGTAATGACAAAATTGTAAACTAAAAAACAATTATGTGCTCCTTAACTCTTAATAGGATTTGAAAAATATTTTCCCAATGGGAAGAAAGCAAATGGAACTAAAGGTACAGCTGCAGAAACAAAAGGTACAAAAAGCTGCTTGATTTCAGTTCTTTTTCTGAAATGTGTGCTCGTTAGATTAGAGTTCAGCATTAAATTGTGGGTTTGGGTTTTGGTTTTTTGTGTATTTTTCAGGGAAAATGTTTCTGTACCAGATTAGTTTTAAAGTGCAAATTGGTATATTATTAAATGTTGCTTTGCTTTAATATTATGTCTGTCTTCTGGAATAATGTTTATTGTCTGTTACGCTTCTGTTGGAATGCTGTCCTTAAATTCTTGTTTTACTGTTTCCTATTAGTTGACATTAGCCATGCATTGGGAGATTCTCTATGTGTATAGTTCTCAGTTGTTCCTAGAGCAAGCTAAAATACCGATTTTGTTGTATGGAATAACAAGAATTGTCATTCTGGGTGAGGATCCAGAACCAGCTCTTTAGCCAGGACTAACCATGTATCCTGCTGCTTGAAAGAGGAGTCAGTAGTGGCAGTGCTTTAAGGAGCCCCACCTTTACAAGGGGTGGGGGTGAATCTGGAAATTATTAGCAAGAACAGCCACTCTGTTGTATCAGAAATCTATATAACACATCTTCCAAGGAGAAGGAGAGGCAGCACCCCTGTGAGTCTCTTATGAGAGCACTAGTAGGAGCAGCAGTTTTCCTGCCACTAGGCCTTGAATGGTAAAATCTAGTGTCATGCCTAGATGCCCAGACTGCCAAGCTCTTGGAAGAGCTAGGGTTGGAAGGAGTGTGGGATAGTGGTGTGCTCCTCCTCGCCCTCTTGAGTATGTTGTCATGACGCCACCACACTGGCACCTTGTGAGTTGGATGACTAGAATGATTAAGATGAACTCATGGCTGTCACTGTGCTGTGCTTGTCTCTAGAATATTAAAAAGGGATGTCAACCTGTGATATCCATAAACCCTGAGCTTTAAGAGGCCCATAGTGTGACTGCTGGAGGGGTGAATTATGGGAGAAGGAGATGTTACTTAGAGCATATCGTGTTGGTTTTAAAACAAAAAACCCACAACAACCTACCCACACCCCCCCAAAACCAACAAAAAGCCCCATCAATCTTCCCCCTCCCAACCCCTAACAATATGCTTGGAATAATGTTACACATCTTGGATTGGTGCAGTAGAAATAAGTTTCATGCAGTCTCGATAACAGGCTTCTTTTTATATTGGGGACATTTTTCAGTTCTTAGCGCCCAAGTGTCATCAGTTATACAATTAACAGACCTCTCTTTTGATCATATGAGATAGATGTCTGCCAGTAAATCAACTATCTGTTTTTCTATGGAAATTGCAGTTTCTCACACCTTATTATTGTAGCATTGCAAGCTAGTTCATTTTTCAGAGCAACTCTTTAATTTTAAAACTAATAAAAACTAATGTGAGATCAGTATAAGATGTAAAGATGTGTTTATTTTTTTTTCTTTTATCTTTGTTAGAAGCAAAGCCAGCTAGTGCCCGACAACCTAGTGGGACTAGTAGTGGAGGAGGTGGCAGTGGTGGAAAAAAAGGTGGCAAGAAAGAAGAAACTAACTGGTGGACCAGATTACAGAAGGTCTTGACTTTAAAATGTCTGTCTTTATGGTACTAACTGTCTTGTCCCCATGAAATAACCTTGCATATTTTTTGCTTTTTATGGCTATATTCCAACTGCCTTAAATCTTCCTTAAGCCTCCTGTGCCTAGTATTTCATAGTAACTGGCTCTAGGTGGCTCTCCACTCAGCACCTTTTGTAAATAATTGTTTTGTGTATACCTTCAGAGGCATCTAACTCTGGTTCAGGAATGCTAATGGAGTTTTAAGCTATATGAATATGGCTGCTAATAGTCAGTATTCTTATAGTGCTTTGTATTTTTGTTCCAGAATGTCAATTTGTAAAACTTTCTCACCACACAATGCTAGTTAGATGTAGTTTACAGTTCTGACCTTAATGGAACACTTCTGTAAGTTTCTTTTTGAAATTTATATTTATTGTCATTAGCTATAGCACAAAGATGATGGCATCTGACAGTACCAGAATATAAAGAATGTTGTTCTGATTTTACTTGGTACGCTTTTTTTTTTTCTTCCTTCTTGGGTTTTTCCTGATAGACAAAAATAAAGGAAAAAACTATCTTGCATGTAGTCCTGGAGGACAAGGAACATTGTTCTAGAATGGAGGGAGAAAGGTCATATAACAGATGGCAAAACTTCTTCTGAAAAGAAAGTAGTTCACAGATCAAAACTTTTCAATTATGATTTGTAAAACACTTCAAGATTTTATACTAATGCTGTAATTCCTCAGTTATATCTGAAGTTACTGAAATGTGTTGATACAACAAAATACAGCTTGCTTTGACATTCTCTGTGGTAACCTTGAAGGCAGGGAATAGAAGCCAGAAACAGATATTAGAACCTCTTTGTTATATACTTACTGTATTACAGATTCTAAAACTTTTGTTTTTCTCCATTTCTTAGGGTGACATTCCATGGGATGTCAGGGAGTTTCGGATGTACGTAGTGGGAAGTTCTTTTTTCTGGACAATGGTTGTATATTACTTCTTCTTCAGGGTCCCTGGGAGAGAAATCACCTGGAAAGACTTTGTCAATAGCTACCTTTCTAAAGGAGTGGTGAGTAGTGAGGGGAATCAAGAAAAAAGTCAGTGTGCTGAAGATGCTCATTTTTGCCTCCCTGCTTATGCTTGTATTCATGTATCTGTGGAGTGAGAACTGACTCAAGAGTAACTTTTGAGGGAGAAAGGAATTAGCTTTCATCTTAATTAGTTCCTTGATCTGATATTCTGGATGGCTGTGTGAAGATTTGTGTCATTTCAAGAGAGGAGAGGGAGTGAGCAGCTCAGGACAGAGCTTACAGCTCATGTGTATGCTAGTTTGAAGGCGCAAATGTCTCAGGGTATGGTTTTATAGTACTTAATGGCTTAAGCAGATATGCCAGCTGCCTTCAGAAGAAACTTACTCCTAACCTTAAGCATTTCCATGAGACCACTCTCCTGAAGAAAAAAAATAAAAGTTTTTTTGTGCTTGTTTCATGCTTTAAATCAATTCCTCAGGGAATCTGAGAAGCAGCAGTGTGAAAAGAAAGGCAGGGGTGGGGAATGGAAGCATCCCTTCAAGGACAGTAAATTGGCTTAACTGTGTTGTAAAATAGCCTCTTTTGTTTGTTTTTTCCTCTATTATTTCTTCTTTCCTTCTTACCTGGAGCCACTACTGGGGCAATCAATTTTATCATCAGTTTCCTATCTCTCTGTAGAGTTTGACAACTTTCCACACTTGGAGTAATAGGTTGATGGTGCCCTGAAGTTCAGGAGATTGTCTTACACAAGCCTTTTCCACTTCAGGAGCCGCTAGTTCTTGGCTCTCTTACCTCCCTGTTCATAGCTTTGCCAGCAGGTTGGGAAAACATTGGCTTGCTTCCTGCTCTAGGTTTCAGACCTGGGATATTGTGTTAACAGCGTGCTTGGTACCCCTCTGTTACTTTGTTAAACTGCTAAGTAGGTTGTTTTCTACCTTTTTTTTGTCTTACTGCTCTATGCAGAGCTGCTCTGTATGCTTCTCCCCTTCTGGCTAGACTAGGTCTTGCAGTCCTGTCCTTAATTGACAATTATCTGTCCATCTTGTGAAAAAACTGTACTGATTATATTTGTCATGAAGCAGTAAGACGCTAGCTCAGTAAAAAGATTAGCCGTTAAAGTGAACAAAGCCTGAAGCCTTGTTGCAGAAAAGCATTATGAAAGTGGGTTGTTGCACAAAGCCGTCTCTTGGACCTTTGTAAGATGTAGTTTGAATACTCAGATAAGCTAAATATGTAGCTAGCAAATGCTGTTGGTTGCCATAGTGGTGGCCAGTTAATGGGGAGAAGACATTGGCTCTACTGGGGTTACGCACTTTTCAAAACAAAGATGTTTAGGTAGTTTTCAATGAAGTCAGGCTAGATCTGGAATGGCTTCTTAGCTCACGTTTTGCTTCAATTCTACCAGAAATGACCACATGTAGTGAGTTCAGGGAAACAACCTTACTAGCCTGTGTACAGCTCAGGCCCAATTTGTAGAACCATTGCTAGTTCTAAATTCTTTAAAGATGCTGAAACTAGTTATTTTATGGACAGAGGAAGAAAAAATGGAAAGAAACTTCAGTTGCCTTCTGAAGAGACCCTGTCAAATTCAAGAAACTAACCATTTGAAGAGACTTCTATCAAAAAAACCCCAAACAAACCCTTAATAGTACATATCTGCAAGCCTGCAGCTCAGTTCTTGATTTTAGTTTATGTGATTTCTGTTACCTCAACTAAATTCTTCTTTATCTAATTGATGTTCTTGTGTTTAATATGGTAGCACAGAAAGTCTTTTATATTAGGGAAAACAATTGTGAGAGCAAAGTCAAGTTTTCCCTCATTCTGTTCAGTTTGATTTGTTTTAGAGGCTGCTACAAGAGTTTGGAGTCATGTGATCTATTGCTTTTGGTGTTTGACCATTGAAATAATTAAGTATTGTTTAACTATTTCACTGTACCTGTGATTTGAGTGGAGGTGTGCATTTTTATTTATTTTCTTTTTTACCTGAAAAAGGGTATGAGATTTGTCTTTTCCATCTGTATTCTAATGTGCCAGTATTCCTTGCTTACTGATTACACACATGATTCCTCATGCCATTCCTAATGGCAAACTGTAGATTGTGGAACCATCCTGATCTACAACATTAATTTTATTCTCCATACTGGAAAAGAGAACGGGTTTGTATTTGGTATACGTAGCTCTTAACTGTGATGGAAGTGTGGTGAATGTACGCTCTAACACATCGCAAGTTTTGTTCTTTCCTCCTGCAGGTGGACAGACTTGAAGTGGTGAACAAGCGCTTTGTTAGAGTGATCTTTGTTTCAGGAAAGTCTCCTCATGAATGGGTAAATGCTTTTAATACATATATATGAGACATTAGCAACAGCAAAGCAATCTTTTTAGGTAAAGTTTGATGCAGAAAACTTGGTCCGGAGCATTAATAATCTCTTAATCTAAAACATGTTTTCTGCCTTACTGTTTCATTATCCTACATTGTGTGGGTTTTTTTGCATTTTACTGTACAGATTGTTTTGCCACAGGTATCTTAAAACCATGGCAAGTAGTTTCTTTCCAGCATCATGCTCTTAATACAAATACTCAAACAGGAAGAGTGAGAAATTGCTGGAGGTTCTGTATTTTTAACTGCTGTTTTCCATCTGGTCAAGAAAGTCCCAGACTTAAATGTGCACACTTTTGGATCGTTTCTGTTCCAGACTGCTTTTAGACAGTTATTTGAGAAAACAAAGAGAAATGTTTAACTTTGTCTCCATTTGATACTATAGTCTTTAAAACTATGCTGAGAGTTCTCATTCTTGAGAAAAGTACTTATTTCAGGGAGTTACTTTTCCAGTAGCACAATGAGGAGCAGGCTGATGCAGGTGAAAGTTCTCCAAAGAACAATACTTGGTGGCAGGCATCTATTTAAAAAATTAAAAAAACTCCACCTCATACAATGTGGAAAATCTAGAGGGAGCATTAAAGAAGCTTTATCAGGTTACCTCTTCCTAGGTGGTGGAATATTTTTTTAACTGACTTTCTGAAACAAGGTCTGCAAGTCCCTCTGGGATAAAGTGAAATCTGCAGCAATTACTTCATCAGTGGGTTTCAGTGTGACTTATTTATACACCTACTCTTTAGCCCACATACCACCAGTTGCCTTAGTTTCTCAATCAGTTAATACTTAGGACTACTTTCTTTTTTTTTTCTTTTTCAATATTAGGGTAAGTAGGGGCAAGTCGGGCAGGTCATGGTGCAAAAGGGGAGATTTTTCTTGAAAAACCAAATCTCAACACTGTTTAAAAGTAAGGTCTGGATTTTTTTTTTTTTCTGATGTATGATATAAGTTCATGCTGTCGGTTCTGTAGACAGATAACTTTAAAGCTAATATGGACTCTAAAAGTAGAGAATTGCCTTTCTTAATCAGAAAGGCTGAGACCTTCAGGTGAAACTAAGTTGTATGGCTGCTGTGTTTGCTGGTTTAGTGCTCTGTATTATTCTGACTGCATAGCACCCTTCTAAAGATCTGTTTACCTACTCTCCTTCTGTTTGTTCCTGGAGAAAATGCCAGGATGTGAGTCTATTTAAAGTGCCCCAAAGCTATTTGGTGTATGATCTCTGTAGAACCAATGACAGATAGAGTGTTTTCAGGTTGGTAGGCCTTAGATTTATCACATGCATCTTACATCAGTTACACACTTTACAAGGCAACTTGAACTTGGTCTGAATCTGTTGTGAGAATTAGATGTGTATGTGTTAGACGTTGACTTGTAATGATGCTGAAATAAGATAAGGCACTTTGTGGTGATCTCTGCTTTTTTTTTTTTAGCAGTACGTCTGGTTTAATATTGGTAGTGTGGACACTTTTGAACGGAATCTTGAAACTGTGCAGCAAGATCTGGGAATAGAAGTGGAGAATAGATTGCCTGTAGTCTACTCAACAGAGAGTGATGGGTAAGAAGTTGCTTCAAAAAAAAGCTCTAATAAATGGTTGTGTTTACAGTAGAAAAGTAGATTTGTAAGATGTGCACCTTATGCGTCACTAGGTGGCAGTATTATCAGAATAACAATCATCTTGGGTTAACTGTAAGAGGAGCTGTTCAGTACTTTGTCTATGTAGAAATACATATCCTCTTACCCTAAATATAGCTTCTTATTACATAAATGTTCATTTACAATTGGTCCTTCCTTCATTTAAGCCCTTCCTCCAAGTGACTTGTACTAGAGCAGGAGCCAGCCAGGCACAGCAGTAGAGCTCCAAGCACGACACTCATGCGGATTTTTGAACGGACAAAATGTGTTATAGAACTACGGTATATTGACTGAGATATAACAGGCATCAGTTTCTGCCCATAAATTCGATGGAATTCAAATTCTGTGGCCTTACAAAAAGGCAAGAAATTAGTGACTAAGTAGATTGTACTGTCTGCCTGTTAGCAGGAACAGGAAGATGCATCATATTTTTGATTTCTAAATTGGTTAAGAAAATAGTACTGACATTTGATTTACAGCATTTTTGCTTACCCAGTAGGTCTGCAATACTAGACTGTATTCTTTGTATTAGTCTTAGTATTAGTAGCTGAGTTTTATTGACCTGGACTTTAAAAGAGACTGGAAGTGTTTCTCTGATGTGGTTTTCTGAATGGCTTAAAAGACAGATGTAATCTTGTATTCTAAGAACTGATTTCTTTTTGATCCATATGAGCAGTTTGAAAATTACTTCCGTTAGTGTCTGTGAAATAGGTTTTATACCATAAGGAAACTCAACTTTGGGTGTCGTAGTTCCTATTACTAATGAAGAAGGCTCATTTGCTGCCTCTCTTGTGTTTTCATTCTCGATACTGTGGTGTGTGTTTCAGTTTTTGGGGATGGAAGGGGAAGTTCTGTTTATTTCTACAATGTATTTTACCAAGCTGCTGCTGCCTGTTTGTCTTGTTGGCAACAGGAAAAATTGTAACCTTAACTCTGGATCAACCTGCAACTTCAGATAGAGGTTTTCTGTTCCTTGTTCTTCTAGAAACTGTCTCTGCCTCATTTAACTGTTTCTGTCTAATGGGGTATGCCCTTATGGATGGTCCGTAAATAAACCTGTTGAGCCCTTATTTAAACAAATTTGGAAAAAAAAATTAGTGGACAGGGTAATGTGGTGCTTGTGCGAAGAGGCTGCATATCAGCCTAAGGCTTCTCACAACAGACGGGGAAAAGTATGTCAGTTCTGATGCCTTCGTCAAACTCGCACAGATCTCTGCCTTGCTTCTGGGCACAGTCTCTGGCCGTGTCCTCGTCGATGTCTGTTCTTCATATAATACATGGCCTGTAACTTGTTGCCCTGTTCCAGAAACGCTACAGGAGACAGCAGCAGTTACATGATCGTAGTACTGCTGTACCCTGCTGGATCGGAATCTGCTGAATACCATAGGACAGGGAAAAATCCTTCTTTTCCTCTTCATCCCAGAGATGTGGGATAACAGTAAAACCTGGAAATCCTATGCTCACTTATGGTAGTGCTTCTTTTCACTGTTTTCTTTTTGCTGAGTGTTGACAGAACCTCTTATGAGCTGTTCCTTGAAGATCTTACCACAGAAAAATCTGTGCAGTGCTCGGATACTGTGATAATGAGGACTGTGTTAGCATTAGGATTTCTGGCTTGTACAGAGCTGTGCTAGAAAGGTGGACAACAGACAGTGAAGGATAATGGGTAATGAGTAATAAAAAACCCAACAAAACAAGAATAAAAAAACCCTCAATAGCCTTGGGCAAGGGAAATAGAGACATTGAAAGAAGAAGAAAATGTAAAAATTGAAAGACATAAAGGAAGAAGAAAGAATACGTGTTTCAGAGAGAAACTTCTGCTTGAAGTTGTAGCATACACCAATTGTATGCTACCTAATGCAACTGATTTTGAGAATATAACTATTTGCATAGTTATATGCAACTAGTCCTGTGACTTTACCTTTCAAGGGCACAGAAAATGAGCTGCTACTGTTTAGTAGGTAATGCAGTTTTCCTCCGTAAAACTCATCAGTGTCACTTGATGATGTGCTTGGTTTAAAAACAAGCAATAAACCAATTTGTTCCCAAATTTATTTTGGTTATTTCCCAGTGTGAACAACCAGCAAAAATGCAAACATTACAAGTTAATAGAGTATTGGTCCTGCATTTGTTCGCTTATGATTGAATCAACCTTTTGTACATGTTATATGCAGTAATGGATATTTGTAATATATGTGTTTTTCTGTTCTGTTTGTTTTTTCTCCACAGATCCTTTCTTCTGAGCTTGCTGCCTACGATCCTGATTATTGGTTCTTTACTGTACACATTAAGAAGAGGCCCTGCAGGCTTAGGTCGAGCAGGGCGCGGAATGGGTGGACTTTTCAGTGTGGGTGAAACCACAGCCAAAGTCCTTAAGGATGAAATAGATGTTAAATTCAAAGATGTAGCTGGCTGTGAGGAGGCCAAATTAGAGATAATGGAGTTTGTTAACTTTCTGAAAAATCCCAAACAATATGAGGATCTGGGAGCAAAAATTCCAAAGGTAAGGGAATGATGGCTTAGCAAGTAAAAGACTTTATTCTTTTGGTAGTCCTCAGTATTCTAAATTGTACTAGGAATGTTTACATATGCAATGCTTTCCAGCTGCTTTCTTCTCACAGTCAGAAGAAAAAAAAAAAGGCATTAAGTGCCAACAGTATAATTGTGGTGCCTAGAAGACTTGCCTCGTGGAATACTTCATCTGTTCACATGGGTTAGAAATGATACATAGAATGCATGTGTACCATCATTCTTGTATAAAATTGTTACAGAATTGCCTTTTGGCTATGCTGTTGTAGGAGCCCACCTGATGACATACCGTTTTAAAATGTGTCAGTCAAAGAAAGCACTGTTCCTGTAAATCTAAGACAGCACGGCAATGTTGTATCTATTTTTTTTCCTTTGGTTTAAATGAGAGATTAATCTTCAGTTCGTTTGCTTGCACAAGTTTGACTGTAGTGGAAGAAGAGCCAGTGGACTCAACATCATAACATGTAGATCTTTTAAGTAAGCTATTTCATAGGCTTCTATTTATTTTCCTCATAAAGAAAACAAACTCTTTCTCTTGCAGGGGGCAATTCTGACAGGTCCTCCAGGTACTGGGAAAACACTTCTAGCTAAAGCTACAGCTGGAGAAGCTAATGTACCATTTATCACAGTCAACGGCTCAGAGTTCTTAGAGATGTTTGTTGGTGTGGGTCCAGCTCGAGTAAGTCTTTGGCCTTGCTCTTTTGTTTCATTATTGGTTGTTGAAGGGACGTTGTCAAGTTTGGGAGGCAAAGAGTTTGATTGCAGCTGAAGTTCCTGCATCTATGCAGATTACTTAAAAATTATGCCAGATGCTTGTCTAAACACAAGAATCATAGAGGTACTGTTTGTAAAAGGAACTAATGCAGTTCAGTATCTGGTTGCAGGCCATCAGGACCTTAAGGGTTTACATCTTCACAGGAACTTAAGAAAATAGAACAGAACTCTCCAAGCTCTACTCTGAAGTAAATTTACTAGTTGGGTCAGAAATATGTGTCTCATTTGACTACTGCTATGGGAATGTCATCTCCTGCTCTAAATCATTCTTATTTCTGTGAAGTTTCAAACTCTTACATATAAACAGTTGTCTAGGACACACAAATGAGCTTCTAGTTCAAATAGGAGTCTGAGGGTTGTGGAACTAATGATTGATTTCTGGAGATAGGTGATTTAAATAACCAAATATACGTCTAACACTTTGTAGTGGGTCGACCCTGGCTGGGGGCCA